CTCTCCGAAGGTACTGCATTAAAGGGACTGTGAGTTACCCGTATATTGGCTTAGGAGTGAGTTCATACATTATTTTTGTCTTTTCAGGTGCCGCGTAAGTTGGCGTCTACTCGCACCACCTATAGGCAGCATGGAAACTCCGAACCAAGTGACACCGAACGAAGCGCGCGCATCATCCGGTGTCGCAGTGAGTTGTAAATTTGTGCTGTCGTTGCGTCCAGAGTTAAAAAAGTAGTGGAACGTGTCGTTTCAGGACACCCGTAAACCATATAAAAAATAAGCAATAAAATATTGCGAATGTGTGTAATTTGTAAGCCTGTGCTATCTCTACGTTGGTGATCGCGTCCAAACAGTTCGTGACACATCTGAATAAAATAGCGGATGGGCTCGCTAGACTAGTTTGTTTTGCACAGTGCCAAGTGACGCACACGTGTGAAGCAAGAGAGAAGAGAGAGGAGGAGGAGGATAATGAATAAACTATGTTCAGTGCATGGAGTGGTCTCACGGTAGATGGTCCAACGTTGGCGGCTCTCTATAGTCTAGGATTCCGTGGACATGACGGGACAGCTTCATCAGATGTCGCTGGTGGTGTTGCCGTTGAGTGCACTTGGAAAGGCGCCAGAACTCAAGCGAAAAGGAACGAAAGCAGGCGCGTATTATCACCAAATTTGTAGCAAAACAGAACAGGAGCGGTGTTACGGACAGTCTTCACTAGTTATGAACAACGAAAACCGATCTCAATAAGTAAGACGAGGAGTTGAAAAGTAACAAGATAGTAGTCATGAAGCTAGGTAAAAAATTTCGTCGCTAGTCTATAGAAGGGGCCGAAAAGCAGTCAGTAACGTTCAATGTTAGGCAAAGTCGAAAGAAGGAGCGCTGCTTCACTAGTAAACATAAATGAAAAGCAGCCTATACTTTGCGCAAATTAGCCACCAACGGCAACGTTGCGGCTAGTTTTCAAGACTGGAGCTTGTCAGGCGGGCCTCGCACCAGTCATCGTTTGACCCAGTGATATTTGAAAGCGAGGGATCGAGACAATTAAGTTTACACTGAGTCCGGCAAGTATGTCATATAGACAGGCGCGTTATATGGTCAGATGAACGGAGGAAGGTACTGAACAGGAAAACACAAGGCTTTTTGTTTGGTATCCGATGCTAAGGAAAGCCGTCGGTACCCTGACAAAGGAAAAGTCCACTTGTCGCCACGCCAGCGCCAGTGGCAAGCCCAGCTTGACAATTTCTCATTTCTTCAAGCTTCCATCATCCCTGAACTTCTCTGTATTAGTGGCTCGCCCAATGTGAGGTTACTCATTAAATATACCACCCAGTTTTCTCGTCCGTTGCTTCAGTCCTCCTTCCCTGGTTTAGTCTTGATACACTTCGTACGAAGCGTGGCACCACACCTTCAGTAGAAAGAGTAAAACAAAAAAAAAAGAGTGGAAGAACTAAAAAGGTCGTAACAGTGAGACCGCGCAAAACCCGTCGCGAGAATGTTCTTAGGGCATTCCTGCGGACAATATGTATTGCTGGCGACCCTACAGGTAGGCAACGCAGCCCAGAACATCCGCAGGAGTTCACGAAAGCTCAATTTGTCAAGTTAAAAAAAAAGCGAGAGAGAAAACAGGATTCATTATGCAATCGCCCGCAACAACTCTTGTTCACCTATTGCCCATGGCGGATACCCGCTGTGGGGGATTGGCCAAGAATTTGAGTGGTTTTATAAAATAATGTGCAGTTTAGAATAATGGAGGTTGTTTAACAGAAAGATTACAGATGACCTATGAATTTGTGGTGCTTGATGTAATCCATGTAATTATTTAAACGACTCAAAGTGAATGTGAGCTTTTTTTTCACAGTCGACGTGTTGACCCACGCGACCTTGTTTTTTTTTTAGAGACGATAGTCTTTTTTGGGAACCTTCGACTAAAAAAAATTTAGTCTGTCCTGTTTGTACATTTGTGTGTTTGTGTAAACGTGAAGAAAAAAAAAAGTGGGTGAAAAGATAACTTGCCGTGGGCAGGAACCAAACCTGCGACCTTCGAATTACGCGTTCGATGCTCTGCCACTGAGCTACCACGGCAGCTATCCTCCCAGCCACTTTATTGGATTTATATGTGAATTTAAACGTGGGAGTGTCAGTCAGCACCATCTGTAGCCATGGCGGCTCATCATCAGATCATCGTCATTTTGGTCTGTCTGTACATTTGTCTCTTTGTCCGCCATTAATGGTACGCTAAAGGACACCAAACGATACCCCAAACGGCAGACCCCATCCGCAGCGCCCACCAATATTGCTCAAGTTTTAGCGTTCATACTTGTGCGACTGTCTATTCGGAAGCAATTATTGTCGCATATCTGAGGCACCATAACAACACGTCGTTATTTAGTATGTGTGGCTAAGGACCGTAGTAATTCTAAGGACCGTAGCATTTATCACGCTGCTCTGACAGTGCAACCCGATGCTCAAAAAGGCTAATGTTTCCTACACTTTGCTAAGACGACACGGTGGCGGCACCTACCCGTCGCCTTGCGTTCTACACCTTATCGAGTCCAAGACGGGCGCGCACGGTGCGTGCTTCGTTTTCTAAGATAACTGGCAGATAGCGCTCATGTCTCATGTGTGACATGATTCGATGCGCTCGTTCGCCTCCGCTGAACGCACGAGGAACTCTGAAGCAGCACCTCCAGAATACCATTCACCAATTTTCTTGCGTAGAACATCAAATGAACGCCTTGTTCACACTCTCCAGGCACAAGAATATCGTATTTTGACGACATTTGCAGTGTTACATGCAGATAATCATCATTATCATCGTCAGCCTGACTACGTCCACTGCAGGACAAAGGCCTCTCCCATGTTCCACCAGTTAACTCGGTCTTAAGCTTGCTGCTGCCAATTTGAACTCGCAAACTTCTCAATCATCTGCCCACCTAATCTTCTGTCTCCCCCGAACCCGCTTGCCTTCTCTGGGAACCCAGTTAGTTACCCTTAATCACAGTGGTTATCCTGTCTACGTGCTACATGCCCAGCCCATGCCCGTTTCCTCTTCTTGATTTCAACTATGATATCCTTAACCCCGGTTTGTTCCCTAATCCACTCGGCTCTCTTCTTGTCTTTCGAAGTTACAACTACCATTTTCCTTTCTATTGCTCGCTGCGTCGTCCTCAATTCAAGCTGGACCCTCTTTGTAAGTCTCCAGGTTTCTGCTCCGTAGCTAAGTACCGACAAAATGCAGCTGCTATATACCTTCCTCTTGAGGGATAGTGGCAATCTACCTGTCATCATTTGAGGGTGTTTGCCAAATGTGGTCCACCCCATTCTTCATCTTCTAGTTACTTCCATTTCGTGGTTCGGCTCCGCGGTTATTACCTGGACATAGTCTTTTGCTACTTCAAGTGCACTATTACCTATCTCAAAGCGCTGCTCTCTTCCGAGGTTGTTGTACATTACTTCCGTTTTTTGCAGAGCAATTTTAAGACCTACCTTTCTGCTGTCCTTGTCTGACTCCATAATCATGAGTTGCGATTCGTCCCCTGAGTTGCTCAGCAATGCAATGTCATCGGTGGAGCGCAGGTTACTAAGGTACTCTCCACTAACTCTTATCCCTAACTGTTCCCATTCTAGGCCTTTGAAAACCCCCTGTAAGCACGCGGTAAATAGCAGTGGGGATATTCTATTCCCCTGCTTTACACCCTTCTTGATTGGTATTTTGTTGCTTTCTTTATGAAGGACTGGCAGCAGTTGATCACCTGTAGATTTCATCTAGGATGTTTATATATGCTTCGTCGATGTTATGATTCCGCAGTGTCTGCATGACTGCTGATATTTCTACTGAATCAGACGCCTTCTCGTAATGTATGAAGGCTATGTATAGCGGTTGGCTATATTCTGAGCATTTCTCCTATTACCCTGATTGATAGTATGAATGTGGTCGATTGTTGAGTAGCCTGTTCGAAATCCTGCTTGTACCTTTAGGTTGATTGAATTTTAATGTGTTCTTTACTCTGTTAGCAATTACCTTTGTAAATAGCTTGTATACTACAGAGAGCAAGCTAATCGGCCTGTAGTTATTCAAGTACTTGTCATCTCCTTTCTTATGTATTAGGATGACGTTAGCGTTCTTCCGAAGACCCTGGTACTCTTCCCGTCAGGAGACACCTAGTAAACAGGGTGGCTAGTTTTTTAAACACAATCTGTCCTCCATCTTTCAGCACATCTGATGTTACCTGATCCTCACCAGCAGCTTTGCTTCTTTGCATGTTCTCCAAGGCTTTTCTGACTTCTTCTATCATTACTGGTGGGGTGTCAGCTGGGTTACTGCGAGTTCCTATATGCCTTACTGTGCAAGATCTCTGTAAAACTCCGCTATTTTAACTATCCTATCCATATTGGTAGTTATTTTGCCCTTCCTTGTCTCTTAGAGTATACATCTGATTTTTTCCTATCCGAAATTTTCTTTCACTGCTTTGACGCTTCCTCCGTCCTTCAGAGCGTGTTCAATTATCTCCATGTTATACCTATCATGCCGATACCGGGTCAATTTTTTCTCTTTGTCGATATGTTAACGCACCACTTCCCCCTTTCGAAAGCTTTCGGCACCAATAATAATAATAATAATAATAATAATAATAATAATAATAATAATAATAATAATAATAATAATAATAATAATAATAATAATAATAATAATAATAATATAGTAGTTTTTTCTCATTATTGATATTAAGCTACATGCTTTTGCACTGCTTTCGTTGACCGGCCCATCTCTCACCATCTCTCTCATGACGATTTTATGTCATGATCTCACCATAGCCCTTCATTACGGCACCACAGGTCACGAAAAATCTGTCGTCACAGTGACCTCATGATGGCGTTATCAAACTTCACTATTACGTCACAAATGTGGTTGCATGTGACGTCATGGTGACGTAATACAGTGATACCATACGTGATGACCATTTGAATCACTAGTATTGACGCCCATGCCGAATTTTCTCCTTCGAGGAGGCATCTGAGATATCCACCTCAAAAATCTAACTGGTGCGTTCGCAGGACGGGAGAAACCAGCGCTTGTCAGTGTACCACGTGATCGAAGGTCTGCACGTAAGCCGAATGTTCACGGAGCGTAGCATCAAGTCGGCCATGTCCTACAGGCCTCGGGATGACGACGTCTTCGTCGTGAGCTACCCGAAGTGCGGAAACACTTGGCTTCGGAAAATCGTCAGCGTGGTGCTGAACTGCGGCCAATCTCTGGGGAAATCCGGAGCAACGGAGGAATTGTCGACGTACCTGGATTTCGTGGGCGCAGACGGTGTCCGCTCCACGCCCCGGCCTGCTTGCTTGAAGACTCACCTACCGTTCGACAAGCTCCCGTACTCGCCGAAAGCCAAGTACATCTACATAACCAGAAACCCTTACGACTGCTGCGTGTCCTTCTACTACCACACAAGGTGAGTTGGTAGCCTGGGCGATGGCCAGTGTAGCTATACTGTCGCTTACAAAGAGTTGCAGTAGATGAGTGTCATAGTGTCTTAATATGCCTAAAGGTTCTGGTTTTGCATCTCTACAGCCGTATCCACGTTGGTACCGCTTTGTCTTTTGGGAGTGATTCTATCATGGATTTACTTCGAATTTTAACTGTAGAGAAGGGGGGATTGGATCAGTACTTATTCGTAAGAGAGAATGGGAGGGTTGGTGTGAAATATGAAGTATAGTTGTTTGTTGAGGAAGGGGGTGGAGGTTGCTTCAGAAAGATTGGTGATCGGACAAGTTCTTTTTTCATAACTGCAGCATGCATTAGCGTGACACATATAAGAACGACGATCCCGTATGAAGTGAGAGGCAGGCGTTATCTGTCTCTTCGTGTGAATAGTGGTCCTTCTATGTGGCACTGCAGACGTGGCGTGGGGGTGGAGGGGAGGACGTGATTGGAGCAAGTGTATAAACCTATGGATTCTTCATGCTTCACCGTGAAGACGCAGCGAACGAGAGAGAAGCAAAATACTTTATTGAGAGGTAAAGTAGATAGGTGGTTTCATACGCATCATTCCTCTTGATTGACCCGATGAGCTAAACCCTCAGCGCACAATGCTGCCTACTGGCTGCGTGCACAAACGTTGAAGTCAAAGAGTATAGTTCGCAACATTCTACATGGACGTCACCATCAGGCTATGCAGCTTGTATCACTTGCTCTGTTTGTGCGTCCAGGCTTGGCTTCCTAGTATATCGATAAGTTGAGAGCTGGGCTTGTGGGTGACTAATCATTACACCTGATCATTTCTTTTTGTGAAATACATTTAGTTGCGAGTGTTGATTGATTGATTTGGGGTTTAACGTACCAAAACCACCATATGGCTACATGAGAGACGCTGTAATGGAGGGCTCCGGAAATTTCGACCAATCTGAGCACTCGGGCGTTGTAGTGTCGTGTCCATCATGTTCCCTTTGTCCCTGTCAGAAGTGCGCTACTTCACCATACGGTTCCTTGTATATATTGACGATTAGTACCGTAAAACCAGTCTGGTTCGCTGACAGTACGCTGCGTCGTATCTCGTCAAGACTACGCCCCTTTGTTATCGTCTAAGCGTGCAAAAAGCTGAGCAATGACAAAGGCGGGTACCTGCAATACTCTGGAGAGGCTCTCCTTACTGCGAAACTCTATATGGCTCAGTTCTGATATGGCTAAGTTCGCGGACAAAAGAGCGCGTAGAACATCAATTTACGACGATCCCTTGCCCCTGGCTACAGGTGGTCAATTTGCTGGCCGACATTCGCGTTACATACTGTAACCGAAACCGGCCTACGGTTCGTGAATGGACCTGCTGCTCACTGATGCTTCCGTTGCGCCGACTATGCACCGAGGTCAGTTTCCAGTTATAGGCGCACTGGACGTACATGTGGTGTACGTTGCCTGCGAACGTCTTTATCTAGCCCCTTCCGCGAAGCCCTTTCCCGTCTTCGACGACAGCCTTTATGTCCGTTGTTTCCACGCTGGTGTTTCATCTTTTATCGCTATACTAGCTGGCATCAACAACGTAGGAGGACGAGTGATAGATTATCAGCCGAGTAATTGGCAAAGTAAAAGTACATTGTTTATCTGGTTTACACAAGTCTACTTGCCAGACTTCAAATCTCCGATCTCATTCATAAGCGTGCTTGAGTTTCGATATACGCTTCCGGTATAGATGAAAAGTCCTTGTACAGGGAATGTAGGTAGAGCAGGCATTTCGCGAGTGGCTTTGGCTCGAAGACTACCCAGAAGACACGGCCACTCATCGCAACTTTGGCTGCAGAGACACGATCAGTCATCTCGTCAAGCCTCGATATATTCTTGAACTTCTGCCTTATCGGGATGCTTCCCGATTGTCTTTCTAAACCGAGTGCGTACACAGCCGACATGTATCAGCTTGGTTAATGACGACTCCGCGGTGCATAATCATATCCGAATCGGTTGGAAGGGCCTCCGATCCGGAGAACACGTGCCGGGAACAACAAGACCACCACTTCACCCCGAGCTGATGAAGTGGCATGCAGAATACCACCTGACGCCAATCCATACACGTTTCTTTCGCTCCCCATATGTTTACTCAAGTATCTACTCTGACCTCATAAGTCTCCATTGCCCATAATGCGGGAAAATAACCATTTTTTTCGTATTATTTGGAGCTCCAGGATAGACCCTCCCCCATCTAATCTATTGATCACTCTCTCACCAGTGACGTGGGTGGAAATACTGTCCTTTGACAACCCTGCTGCCCAGCTTTTGACCATAAATAGAGCCGGGAAGGTGTTTGACAGGCATATGACAGACTAACTCTGCTGAAGCTGCACGTGATATGTCCGACGCTTTACGCGGTCGCGTGTCCGTGATGCGGTTGTAGGACCGTCAACTCTTCACCACATCTCGTGGATGTGTGATCGCAAGCCAAGTGACTTAGCCAATTTTCTCGGCAAGACATTAACACATAGTATGGAGCAGTGGGAAGCACAACTCGTCAGCTCGGACCCAGGAGTGCAGCTCGCGCTCCTGGATCAAGTTCGGCGGGCTGGTAAGGCCAGTGAAGCCCCGGTCATATTCCAACCATAAAAGCTCTTGGATCTCCCTTTCCACTTTTTTCTTAAATAATTGTTTCCCTCCCACTGTATATGATGACTGGTCAGTAAATGCGATTTCCTTTTTATTTTTCTACTCCCAAATGCGCGATGCTACGGGTATGCAACGCAGCGACAAGCATCCGAGTGTTATTGCATCGTTGTACTCAAAGTACGTGCACTCTTTCTGAACATTTGCGCAGGCGACTACCGACTTACCGTTTTCAAGATGGCACGTTCGACCAGTTCTTCAACATGTTCGTGGAAGGCAAGGTCGACTACGGTGACTACTTCGACAACTTACTTTCCTGGTACACCCACCGAGATTGTCCGAACTTGCTGTTCATCACCTACGAGCAGCTCAAAAAAGACACAGCTGGCTGGGTTCAGAAGATAGCGAACTTCCTCGGTGAGGAGCAGTACGGCGAGAGGATCCAAAAGCACCCCGAGTTGTTGGAACGAGTGTTGGCATCAGTTAGCGTTGAAAACATGAAATCGTTGAATTCGGCGCAAAGATGCTGGACCGGACTCTTCGAGTCTGTTCCGGCTCAGGTCAGGCAGGAATTGACGAATGAATTAAAGGTCACCTTCGGTGACATTTGGGACGTGCCGGACAACGGAGGCTTCGTCCGCAAGGGTCTCGTCGGTGACTGGAAGAGTCACTTTAATGCAGAACAGATAAAGATAATGCAGGATCGCATCGCGTTGAAGACGTGCGGCACTGACGTAATGGAACTATGGAAGGATGTGGGCCTTCCATAGCATTATTAAATAGCACCTTGCATGCCTGTATGTGCCTTGTATGTGCGCTCCAAGAACGGCTGGAAGGTACGGATGGAAGGTTGTGATAAAAAAAAGCGTAACCAGGGGTTGTGTGCTTCCACAAGCGGACTTTTCTTCCTCGTGGCTAGAACAGAACTGATTTCTTTAGCGCTAGTGTGTCTAGGAGGCGTTGGTCTGCGCTTCGTACCCTCTCATGCAGCCTAACAAAGGAAGGGAGGGGGCAGCTGTGGATACGGGCTGTGGGAAATGGTGAGGGCGAAGTGACGACTTGCGTGAGTGAAGAAAGAACACGTATTCCGTGAATAAAAAGAACCAAGCGGTGTACACATTTCGCAGTGCGCTTTAAGATATGTGGCAAAGAGAACAACCGACATGGGCTTTAATGCTAACACTGAGGTTTATTAGCGTCCGCGAGAGCCCACGACGTCGAAGATGGTTGCTCGTTTTTTTCCTTGAAGGAGCTCATGAGTTCGCTGGTATACAGTTTCCTTCTTTTTTTTTCGTGTGGAATGAACGAAGAAAGTTGAACATGCGCTAGAAAGAAACCTTCTGAAGGTGTGCTATCAACAAGCCTGCACCGTCTCCCTTGATATTGGAGTGCCTCGAGCTCACCTTCTAATGAGCCTTTGGTAATAAAACCCTTCCTTGTTTCACAAGCTTCAGACGAGTGTTCGCACCAGCGCTGTGTCCCAGTGCTGTGTACTCGTGTTTTATTTCGCTTCTTCTTTTTTCTTCGCGCTAGAACATCACATTTCAGCCTGAAGCGAGATTTCGTCAAATTTACAAGATGAAACCACGGTGTAAGAAACTATTCTTACACCGTGGATGAAACTAATGGACTAGACTTACTTTTCGAAGTCATTGCGGAACTTATCGTCACCATGAGAAACAAAGAAACACCTATGTGTTTTTAGGGAGTCACATTAAAAGGAAGCATACTGTCGTTGTGCGCAGTTATGTGCCAGGAGCAGCAATATACAACCAGAACACTAAGCGAAACTACAGCAGTTGTTCAGTGTACGAATACAACCAATGAACGAAGCTCCTTACACATGGGACACAAAGAATATGCGCCCGATCTCGCTGTTGGAGTGTCTTCGGCGCTCAGAGGCGGGAATGACTGAGCGAGTCATCTGCCGCCGCGTCTGCGCTTGCCGGGATCGCGCACCTGTTTTGCTCGGCACGGCTGTGCGCCGCTGGGAGCTATGTCGGCGAAGGCGGAGTGCGTGCCGAAGGAGCTTCGCTTCTGAAATATCGAACCAGTTCCGCACCGTGAAAGCTATAGAAACTGCGGAGCAAGACTTTTAGAATTCGCCTGCCTCTGTTGACGCCCGGCTTGCGCCTGAGTCTTCCGTAGCAGAGGGTCAACTCACATTGACTGGCCTTTCGCCTCCCCCTGTCTCTTCCGTAGATCATCTAACTCGCGTCGTTGGCATTTCGCTGGCTCGGACAGATTAATTAGCTCTTCAGTGAAACTGGCGTTCACGTGTAAGCGAGCGCTATAGTGTTTCAAACGTGCAGCATGCTAAGCGTCCATTGTGCGGGAAAAGAAAACCCTCATTAGTGATGCACTGGCGCCCTTTCCCGACTTGTTCCGGTATTGAATTAACCTGTAGCGCTTCATTGACCTGCAGCGACCTGTAGCACACACGCAATGATTCGCTTGCCTCCATCTTTCCGATGAGGGAAGGAATCATAAGCGCGTGCACGAGGGGAGGGGGTGAGAAGGGGCAAAGCCAGCCCCATACATTGACACTTATACGAAGGGGGCCAGAGGGGGGGCTCGAAGTCACCCCCAAACGTTGGCGTGATAGACGGGGGGGCGCTAAGACGAATCTTCGCCCCCCCCCCCCATAAAGGCAAGCCTACTCACGCTTATGGAAGGAGTCTTAACTTTTTGTGTATGGAAGTGGGTACACAGTTTTGTTAAGCTATGTATGGCTGTTCCACTCTGTGATTTAATTACGCCGAAAAAGAATGAGCTTAATAAGGTGTAGCCTCGTATGAATCCGAGGGGGACCGAGTTCAACGTGACGGGCAGGGCAGCGGGATTACTGTACGTTTATAAGCGATGCTTGCTGAGACTTATGCATACAGAAATAGGGATGGTATACGGCGACGATTATATATAGGAATGGTGCGCAGCTGTGCCTGATAGTTTCCTCAATGGCTAAACCCTGGCATCGCACGGATATTTACGTCGTCGCGATCTATCCCACGACCTGCGGGTCAGCAGCCAAATACCTTAGCCACTAGGCCACCGCGGCGGGGTATCAAGCATGATTCGTGGAAGCTTGGCATACGCACCGACATATACACCTAAACTGCATGCGCGTGCGATGCACTTAGAACTTGTTTATTGAAATTGTTCTCGCTGTGATACACGTGCCCAAATCCCAGGTGGCGAGCATCCGCATTGGTTTTTCTTTCGTATTTTTTTTGTCGAGCATTTCCATATTAAACGCCGATGCCAGGTTTCACTCGACGGATCGGCAATCCAGGTAAGAATGCTTTCAATAAACGGGTGTTCATCTAGCCGCCTATTTCTTTGCGCTTTCGTGGCCATTCGGTTAGTTTATAAAATTGAAATTGCTGGTGTTTTAGGCACCAGAACTACGATATGAATATTAGACACGCCGCAGCGAAGGTTTGCGGATTAATTTTGGTCACCTGAAATTCTCGTCTTTAAGGTGAACGCTGGAGATGATCGTCCAAATTTCCCGAGCCCTCCACTATACGGCGGCTCTGATAATCATGCGGTGGTTTTCGAACGTTGAAACCCCCAAAATTACTATTATAATTTTTTCAAGGTGTTATCTGACCTCGCCATGGTGGTATAGTAACTAAGGTACTCAGCTGCTGACCCGTAGGTCGCGGGATCGAGTCCCGGCCACGGCGGCCGCATTTCCGACGAAGGCGAAAATTCTGTAGGCCCGTGTGCTTAAATTTGGGTGCACGTTAAAGAACCCCTGGTGGTCGAAATTTCCGGAGCCCTCCACTAGGGCGTCTCTCATGATCATATGGTGGTTTTAGGACGTTAAATCCCAGCAACAACAACATAATTAAGGTGTTGTCTACCATTCAACTGATACTGTCAATGATTTCTGCTCTGCCCAACTGGTAGCTCGCACGAAATCTTCAAAATAAGTTTTTTTTTCACTGTACTGCGTACAACACAATCATATTGTAGTTGTGGCTCATAAATCCTAGATATTGTTAAGAACGCGCTGCAAAGTGCAATTACTCAGCATTTTCAGCTTGCGCAACATAGCCTAGTCACTTTTGCGCTGTTAACTTGACTCGAGCTGACTATGTTACGTAGAATCAGCTCCCAGCGGTAAGCCCGGTCATTGAGTAACGTTAATTGTCATTGGTTGTTATTTGATTATTATTTGTCCGGTCATTGATTGTACATTACTTTCGTCCTTGCAGGTGCTTTGTAACTTGAAGTCGATTCGCATCCCGTAAGCAGAATGCAACCTCCTTGCCAAACGACGCGGCATGACGCATCTGAGTCATCTTCAAACACAGTGAGTGGTGATTTTTGTGTCGTCATTACGCACCCCGAGTTTATGAATCCCGGGGTCTGTATGAAGAGTATTTAATAACCCATTTCAGCGCATCTATATAGCTCATGTATTGTTATGTCGCTATTGTTTGAAAGGCACGCAAAGTAGAAAAAAAAAAACCGCTTCAACAATTTATGACTGCACAGCATTCGGTGAGGTGAGGCCACACTTTCCACTTTCACTTCAGAGGGTGAATTTAGGCGCAGAACACAATGCTGAGAAATGTGTATAGTTCGTGGGAACATTTTCGCGTATTCTGCCATGCATTAACTTGCGGATAAACTTTTTTAAAAGCTTGTTACGTCGAGCTTAAACACACATTCCAAATAGTAATGCAATTCTTGTTTATTAGCAATCACTTCAGTGATGGCAACCTGACGCTCTCAGATACTGCTATATTCTCAGTATGCACAACCGGCGAGTGGGAGAGGGGGGGGGGTAGTGTGATCGCTGGGAAACGGCACCGCTCGGGGATGCCGACATCCCCCCAGCGGAAGTTAATCGTGTAATTGATTTCTGGCGTTTTACGTGCCAAACCCGCAATATGGTTGCGAGGCGGTCGCATTACGATGGAGGTGAAATGTTAGAAGTCCGTGTACTCCGCGCTGTCGGTGCACGTTATAATCATATTATGGTTTGTGACGTTACACTCCAGGTATTATTATTATTATTATTATTATTATTAATATTATTATTATTATTATTATATGGAACTCTGGAACAAATTGCCGAACGAAATTGTTGTTTTTGAAGATGTCACTCACTTCGAAAATGCTGTAAAGCGTACTTACGTGATTGCTAACTTTTTTTTTCAGTGCCAATTGATGCAAGCGACTGCATGTTCATAGCAAATATTTTGAAAAAAAAATGACTGTGAATTTAAAATTATTCCTGAATCGTTATTGGAATGTTGAGTTGTTAATTAAGAGAATACCAATTTTCATTCTGAGTTGTCTAGGTATTAACAAACTTTATGAACATTGTACATTCTTTATGTCTGTCCTTTCTGTTATGACACTCTATGAGGGTTGACAGTATTACCAAGTAAATTATTATTATTATTATTAATATTATTATTTCATCATTATTATGTTGGGTCTAACAAGATAAACGAGCCCTTCATCGAATCTTCCCTCTCTCGGTCAGTGCCCGGATGTGTACCACGTGGTCGATGGTGTGCACCTGAGTCGGCTGTTCACGGAGCGCAGCATCAGGTCGGCGATGTCGTACGGGCCTCGAGACGACGACGTGTTCGTCGTCAGCTACCCGAAGTGCGGCAGCACGTGGCTCCAGCAAATCGTCAATGCGGTCTTGAAAAGCGACGACGACTCGTCCGGGGAGTCGGCAGGAGCTGGGTCACAAGAGTTGCCGGCGTTCCTCGATTTGGTGGGCGCCGCAGGCGCTCTGTCCACGCCCCGACCAGGTTGCCTGAAGACTCACCTGCCATACGGCAAGCATCCCTACTCGCCGGAAGCCAAGTACATCTACATAACCCGGAACCCCTACGACTGCTGCGTTTCCTTCTACTACCACACAAGGTGGGTCAGTCAGTCAGTCGGTCGGTTGGTCGGTAGGTCAAAACTTCATTTCCAACAATGAGAAAAACGTCGTCGTATTTATTTCCGGGTAAAGGCGCGTAGACCAAGAAAACCAGTGCCTTCGTTTTCTTGTTCGTTATGTTGCAACTGCAATGCCCTAGAAAGCTTACAGCGCCATGGGGAAGGGTGCAGCGGGGAAGAGTCACAACTGTGGAAACATTTTATCGTGGTACCAGTTACATGGATACCCGTAACGGGTTTTTGCCGTCGCCGTCTTGTTTATTGTGAAGTGGAGGTCGACAACGTCTCTCCGCGCATCGTGTGTTCTACGCACTAGTGATAGCGCACGAGCGTTGGAGACGAACGCTACTGAAGTAGACATGAAATTGGATTCGATTGGATAAACTTTTATTTGGTCCTCCAAAACACGGATCGCTGTGTTGCGGGTAGCTCCCACGTGGGGACTGAGATGTCAAGCTCCTCAGCCGCCTCGCGGGCTTGGTGGACAGCCCAGAGCTGATCTGCCAAGGATGAGCGGCGGATTGCCGCCTCCCATCTGGCAGAGGTGATGTTCGATATATGAGCGAATTTGGTGCACTGCCAGAGCATGTGTTCTAATGAAGCTATTTCCCCACAATGTGGACAAACATTACTTGGGTATAGGTCAGGGTACATGATGTGTAACATTTTCAAAGTAGGGTACATCCGCGTTTGCAAAAGCCTTAATGTAAGTGCTTGGGGCCGGGTTAGATTTTTGTGAGGTGGAGGGAAAATCCTTCTAGACAGGTAGAAATGTTTAGTGAGCTCGTTATATGTTGTAGGAATTTCCTGGTTATTCCCCTTCACCGGTAGAACGCATCCCCGGGGAGGCGCGGTTGGAGAGTTCTCGCGCCGCTTCGTGTGCTGCTTCGTTGAGATTGGGAGGGGAATCGTTGATTTGTCCAAGGTGAGCTGGGAACCAACTCAGAAGATGATGTGTTATGTTCTTGCCTTGCAGTATTTTCAGCGTTTGTTCACAGACCGTCCCCTTGGCGAACGCCCGTAGTGCTGCCATGGAATCACTGTAGACCGACTTCAATGTTATCCTATCTTGAGTGCTAAGGCGATGGCCACTTCGTTTCCGCAATGATTGGGTCTTTCGTCCTGACCGTCGCTGAGTTGACGACATGGCCAGCCCCATCGACTACCACTGCCACAAACGCTTTCCCATTGGCGTAGGAAGCCGCGTCAACAAATACGACCCCTCGTTCCTCGTTTGAGACTTGACGAAGTATAGTCTTGGCCCTCGCTACTCTTCTTCCGACGTTGTGTTCTGGATGCATGTTTCTCGGTATAGGAGATACCGTGATAGTTTCCCTGATGTTGTCAGGGATATCATCGTAATTGCGTCTGATTGCTATTGGGTGTTGGCCCAGCTCCTGCAGGATCATTCTCCCCGACCTTGTAGTAGATAACCTTGCAAACTGTGCTCTCTCTTGGGCTTCTGCTATTTCTTCGAGCGTGTTGTGTATGCCAAGCTCAAGCAGACGCTCGGTGCTGGTATGTATGGGTAGGCCCAGGACCTTCTTGATAACTTTCCTGAGCAGCACATTCAGTGTCTCGGACTCTGCTCTTGACCAGTTGTGCATTGCTACATCGTATGTGAAGTGACTTAGAACAAACGCATGCATCAACCTGATGAGGTTGTCTTCCTTGATCCCATTTCTTTTGTTGGCCACTCTGCGTATGAGGTGCACCGCACTGTCTGTTTTCCGAGTTAACTTGGCTATAGATTTGCTGTTGGCGCCGGTAGACTCTATCAGCATTCCCAGGACTTTGATGGAGTCGACCCTCTGGATGGCATCCCCTTGATTTGTACGGAGATGGATGTCTATCTGGTTTAACGGCTTCCATCCCCTGGGCTTCGGTCCCCGGCGTGCAGTCCGATAAAGCAAAAGTTCTGACTTACTCGAGGAGCACTTGAGCCCGGAAGGGCGAAGGTAGTCTTCTACGGTGTCAATCGTCTCTTGCAGAGCGCTTTCAATCTGCCCCTCGCTTCCACCTGTGCACCAGATGGTAATGTCATCTGCGTAGATCATCATCATCATCATCAGCCTGACTACGTCCACTGCAGGACAAAGGCCTCTCCCATGTTCCGCCAGTTAACCCGGTCCTGTGCTTGCTGCTGCCAATTTATACCCGCAAACTTCTTAATCTCATCTGCCCACCTAACCTTCTGTCTCCCCCTAACCCGCTTCCCTTCTCTGGGAATCCAGTCAGTTACCCTTAATGACCAGCGGTTGTCCTGTCTACGCGCTACATGCCCTGCCCATGTCCATTTCTTCTTCTTGATTTCAGCTATGATATCCTTAACCCCCGTTTGTTCCCTAATCCACTCTGCTCTCTTCTTGTCTCTTAAGGTTACACCTACCATTTTTCTTTCCATTGCTCGCTGCGTCGTCCTCAATTTAAGCTGAACCCTCTTGTAAGTCTCCAGGTTTCTGCTCCGTAGCTAAGTACCGGCAAGATACAGCTGTTATATACCTTCCTCTTGAGGGATAGTGGCAATCTACCTGTCATAACTTGAGAGTGCTTGCCGAATGTGCTCCACCCCATTCTTATTCTTCTAGTTACTTCAATCTCGTGGTTCGGCTCTGCGGTTATTACCTGCCCTAAGTAGACATAGTCTTTTACAACTTCAAGTGCACTATTACCTATCTCGAAGCGCTGCTCCTTGCCGAGGTTGTTGTACATTACTTTCGTTTTCTGCAGATTAATTTTAAGACCCACCTTTCTGCTCTCCTTGTCTAACTCCGTAATCATGAGTTGCAATTCGTCCCCCGAGTTACTCAGCAATGCAATGTCATCGGCGAAGCGCAGGTTACTAAGGTATTCTCCATTGACTCTTATCCCTAACTGTTCCCATTCTAGGCTTCTGAAAACTTCTTGTAAGCACGCGGTAAATAGCATTGGGGAAATTGTGTCCCCCTGCCTTACACCCTTCTTGATTGGTATTCTGTTACTTTCTTTATGAAGCACTATGGTAGCAGTTGATCCCCTGTAGATTTCTTCCAGAATGTTTATATATACTTCATCTACGCCCTGATTCCGCAGTGTTTGCATGACGGCTGATATTTCTACTGAATCAAACGCCTTCTCGTAATCTATGAAGGCTATGTATAGTGGTTGGTTATACTCTGAGCATTTCTCTATTACCTGATTGATAGTATGAATGTGGTCAATTGTTGAGTAGCCTGTTCGAAATCCTGCTTGTTCCTTTGGTTGATTGAATTCTAATGTTTTCTTTACTCTGTTAGCAATTACCTTTGTAAATAGCTTGTATACTACAGAGAGCAAGCTGATCGGCCTGTATCTGCGTAGATGCTGTGCTTCAATCCTTCAATGCTCGATAATTTCTTTGACAGTCCAATCATGGCAATGTTGAACAGCATTGGTGAAATCACTGCCCCTTGTGGCGTGCCCCTTGCTTCTAGTTCGATTGCTAGAACTAGAAGCAAGGAGGGTGGGTGGCGGTGAGGGAGGGCTGTGTTATTCTAGCATCAACTGCGAACTTTGATCGCAGGCGCACGGACGCGAGTGCTGGTAGGCTTGCTATCTCGACATACATCTGTAGATGACTCGTGTGCTTGTCGGGCTCTTACCACTTACTGAAGCAGCCGTATTCGCGTAAGCCAGCGTTTTGTAGTTAAGCGCGATCTTATACAAAAGATTTAGCTGCCAGCCTTCTTTCGTATGGCATTCAAATTTATTGCTTTCGTATTCGCCCTGTCGAAGTGGTTATTTCTTTCTTTACAAACGGAAATAATAGTTTTTCTTAACTGTGACCGCGGCGGATTACTAAAGCAGAGTTTGCGATGCAATGAGTTCTCATTTCTGTAAGACATATCTTGGAGTTACTGCGTCACGAGTCGTGACACGAGATGTTTTCTGACACTTTATGGATGTTATTTCCGCAGGCGACTTCCGACTTATCGGTTCCAGGAGGGCACGTTCGATCAGTTCTTCAACATGTTCGTGGAAGGCAAGGTAGACTACGGTGACTACTTCGACCACTTGCTCTCCTGGTACGCACACCGTGGAGACCCGAACGTGCTGTTCATCACCTACGAGCAGCTCAAGAGAGACACAGCGGGCTGTGTTCTGAAGACTGCGGACTTCCTGGGCAAGGACAAGTACGGCGAGAAGTTCCGAAAAAATCCAAAGCTTCTAGGGCAAGTCTTGGCGCAAACGAGCGTCGAAAACATGAAATCGCTGAATTCGAAGATGAAGAACTGGACCGGATTGATAGAGTCCGTGCCCGCCAACGCCAGGGAAGAACTGAGGAAGGAACTGAAGGGCATTTTTGGGGACATTTGGGACGTACCGGGAAACGCAGGCTTCATACGCAAAGGTCTCGTTGGTGACTGGAAGAATCACTTCAGCCCGGAACAGATTGGGAGAATGAAGGACCACATCGAGTCCAAGACTCGTGGAAGTGACGTAATGGATCTGTGGAAGGATGCAGGGCTCCCTTGAGCACACCATCGAATGAACGTTGAGCAATAAAGGAGCTTTAACAATATCACCGAGGTGTACCTCTAAAAAAAAAAGGGGGTCGTTTGCACAATCTTGCGTTCTAGGGCTCGATGCTTTCGGAGTTTATTTTTCTTGAAATTCGGTACTTGTTTATCGGAGTTTATTAGTTTTTTAGGCCATTCGAGGCTTATCAGAGTTTATTTCTCCTACATCACAAATTTTCCGAACTTCAGTGTTTAGTTTTGCATCACGAGCAGTTGTAATGTCTTCTTATTAATTTTGTGTGCAATGAAAATGCGTTATGTTCTTGCTGGTAATACTGTTTTTTCTATCTTTTCTTTTTTTCATGTTCTTTCTATTTATACTGTTCACATGGCCGTTGATATGCGATGCTGTAAGCTCCCAAAAATGTAACTTGTAGGGAAGCAGGGGCCAGTCAAGTTGCTTCCGAGGTTTTTTCTAGCCTTCCGCATCAACCCCATCATCTTAATGAAAAATAAAGGGCCTATATTTATGATTATGCTCTCCTCTAAGAAATCTTACATAAATAATATGCGAACACTCTATACACATTTTAGACGTCTGCAAGATTTCAATTTGCATACAGGTATATGGTACATACAAGCACAAATACCTGAATAGGTCACGTATAAGTTTGCTCTTATTACTACCTTAAAGCTTGTTGTCATAGACGCAAGTATATTTTTCGAGCTTGCTGCCGCTAAATGAGGTAGCCTCCTTCATAATTCTCAGCCTTTAAAAATTCTCAGCCTTTAAACGTTGTAAATGTCTTTTTTTTCAAATCAATGCTTAGTGGATAAATTCAAATCGTCCAAACGTTTATCGACGAGGGTTGAGTGTTTAACGGATCTTTTCTGATTTATCCGAATACAAGGATCCACCACGAATGACATATTTTGGGTCTTTTACATTTTGTTATAATGCTACATATGTAATTTGCTGGTCGAAAAAGAGTAGCCGTTTTTGCCATAGAATGCACCAAGGTCTCCTGCACACGATTTCAATAAAAAAAATGGCCCCATATCTGCATGGTAATATGCGAATTTCGTCGAAAGAATTTTGTCGAATTTCGTCTTGCATATTGAGAGAGTGAAAAAAACGTTTATTTGATGTTCTGCGCAAGAAAATCGGTGAATGGTATTCTGGAGGCGCTGCGTCAGAGTGCCTTGAGCGTGCAACGGAGGCGAATGAACGCATCAAGTTACGTCACACGTGAGACATGAACGCTATCTGGCAGCTATCTTGGAAAACAAAGCGTGCGGCTCTGAGACGGGCGCGCACGCTCGTGTCAGAGGTGGTAAGGTGTAGAACGCAAGGCGACGGGTAGGTGCCTCCACCATGTCGTCTTAGCAAAGCGTTGGAAACACTTGCCTTTTCTTGCAAGTGTTGCATGGTCAGCGCAACGTGATAAACGCTACGGTCCATATAATTACTTATGTATGCCTTTTCTACTGAAATACGCACATACAGAATATATACGTGTTGTTATAGTGCCTCAGATATGTGCAATAATTGCTTTTTAGTTGACGATCGCATAGTATGAGCGTTCAACCCTGAGCAACATTGGTGGGTGCTGCGGATAGGGTCGGCCGGTTGGGGTATCGGCTGGTGCCGTTTTCAGTACTCAGTATCGGTAAGGGTGGACAAACAGTCAAATGGACAGAAAAAGCAAAATTTTTGCGTCGCAGGTCCCCAAGAAAGATCGTGTTTAATAAAAAAAATTGGCAGATCCCACGTACAGCGAGAATCGATGATATGCAAAGCATGAATGAGAAATTTTTTTATGTCACTTTAAATTTAGCGCCACGTTACAAGGTGGAAGTAAATGATGCCGTACATGACTTCCGTGTCATGATTATTATGTTTAGAAGTGTCGCGTACCTTCGTCTTCTATTCACGTCACGTGATACCAAATTTAGTATATGTGTAGCTAGCGAAACGGCCACGAGCGCGCTATGAGCATGGTTTGTTGTCATGTTCTTACATGCCAGGCGTGTCAGGATTATCATGTTTGCACCAGTCATATATTTTGTCATCCATTGACGTCACGTAACACCAAATTTAACTAATGAGGAGCTAGCCAAACGGTCACGAGCGCATCATGAAGGGCCCAGTATACTTCAATGTAGCGTTCACGCGCGCGCAGGCTGGGCACAGCGACTCAAGCTTAGCAAAACGCTAGCACTTAATAGTCTGAAGCCAGGTGGGACCAGCATCCATAGGCGCGGCCCAGTGGCAACCGGTGCGAGCATTTCTCACCGATGACGTCACCAGACGGCGCTGCGTCTGCCTCTCTTAGGGACGCCGGCCGCGCTCAAACGCGCATGCGTCTAAGCAGCGCAGCGCGAAGTGCGCCTGCGAGAATGAGGCAGGCAGATAGGCGCGTGGCGTGCTTTAGAATAGCTTGTTTTCTCAAAAACTGATTCGTCATAGTATTTTTTGTTAATTTTTTATTCCTGTAATTCGCGATGTCTATGTATATTGCCTCTCTCTTTGCTAATTGTTGTTTACAATGCGCAAAATGCAAGTGCACGTGCGTGTGTTTATTTTGTCTTTTAGTGTAAATGCCTGTGTTTGCTATAACGTCGGTTTTGTAACGTATTTCATGCCGATTTTTTTATTTTTTTTCACCTGAATTTCAACATTTATATGTATGCTATTCATTGTATGTGTTTTCCACTCCCGTAAGAAGCCCAGCTTGGGGTTGACAGTGGTAATAAACAAACAAAACAAACAAACGGCATCTTCACTTCTTAGGTACATGTCGCATGCAGGTCAATAGAGAGTGGTTCCTCAGAAAACAATTTCGGTGGCAATATGGGCATCCGCTCCTTTAGTACTGCTAAGCCGCGTTTGCTTTCATAGAATAAATAAGCCCTCACAACATAACGGACACAGAACTTTATTGAGCATGTCAAAAAACATTACACAGGAGAAAACACCCATACGTGGTTAGAACGATAGAACGAAAGCAAAATAGCAACATAAACTTTAACACGTCGAGTAGGACTCATTATGTAAGCTATACAGCAGGAAATACACCAAGTGGTAATCCTGGAATAAACAGCCGAACAAAAAAGCCTAATTAAGACACCAGCGACTGCTATAGCACGCGTGTGCTACAAATAATTGTTGCAGAAGTCATGCAAATATTCGTTGCCCCGCAAGACAGGACGGCTGACGAACCTAAGCCCTCCTTTTCCAACCACCAGCTTTACGAAGAAAACGTGAATTTCATTGCAAAGATCTGAAAATCGTTTACGCATCCTTCTAATCATTCATGTTGATCTATTCGTTTGCCATACAACGGCGATGATAGTTTAACGCCGTAACTTCTGGGAAGTCGGTGATGTAACGCTCAAGCAGCCCCACTTAGGTTCTTAGTGTTTCTTGACGGAAGAGAAAGCACGGCTATTGCACACATCGTAAACGTCATCGTCTTCGCCAGACTCTGGCACGATTAACACAAGGTCGATGCTGTCGTCCACAACGGGACACTGTGAATCGGGACACTGTGAATCGGGACACTGTGAAACGCTCTGGTAAGCAGAAGTGGGGCAAACCCGCGACAATTCGTTCCCCGATTCACCGCTTCCCTTCGGCGCTGCTGTCGACTCGCAAGGACGGTTCGGAATGCTGTCACGAACTGCATCGTTCTCTGCAGAGGAGACGGGAGTGTAATGGCTTCCAGAGAGAGCACTTGCAATATTGCCCGTCAGTGGACGATCATTCGAGGCTTGCCCAGCAACGCTGCTTCGGTGAGGCGAAGGGGAACGAACGCACGACCACTTGTTCCTCCCTTACTTGTCGCTATCTTACGGTGGCGCTGGCGTAGAGTAGAAGTAGGCGAAATCAATCGTGACCGAAGTGTTGTCACTCGCGTTTCCGGCAGGACACGCGGCAGTCGTGCTTACGCTTTCAGACGTGAGGCTCACAGCTGCAGCGCCGATGCCGGAGTCAGCCCGAGCTCGAAATCTGCATCCAGAGCACCATCACCTGTTGTGTCTGGGTCTTGTTTTGCGTTGCCGTATTGATCGTTCATATGGTCGATCTCAGCCGGTGTGGGTGGATCGCGCGACGGTTCCCGCTCTGCATTTTCACAATCCTCGGGAGTAATCGCCAAAACGGGAGCATCATTAAGAATGCTCTCCACACTTAGGATCCAATCAATCAAAGAATGCTGACCTCTAGCCCCGTCGTCGCGAGCCGTAACGCTGCTCCTTTCGGTCGCAGCATCGGCCGAAACGGCCGTTCTAGACGACGCCTTAGTAGCGGCCGCCGAAGCTGTCAAAGTCACCAATCCTTTGGTCAGTGACGCGGTCTCGCGAGACGCGGACGTCGCGCCGCTGTCATCTTTAGTCGCACCTTGACGCTGAACTGCGTTCGCCGTCGTGGGACCTGCCGCAGCGCATTTACGGCTACAAGACTGCAACAGAGTCGTCGTCATCACGCTGTCAGCGTCGTGCGGTGTTGTTTCGTTGAGGAAAGATAGGGGCAGCAGCTCCGGACGACATCTGCCGTGGTACGGCGAATCACGATCGATGTAGGGCGTCGCGTAGAACTGATGCGCCCTACCTCGGTGGAACGGTTGTCGCAAACCGAAGAAAGGAGCGTCGTTTCCACCCCCAGGATTGAAGCGCGGCGGTCCAGCGCGGCGTCCAAAGAACGGCCTCAGTGGTCGTCGTCCTCTCCACGAAGGAACGGCTCCGAACACCGGTCCACCGCCGCCACCTCGCCAGCGCCGACACCGGGGAAACGGACTTGGTCGCTCCAACCAGTCGCACTGAAGCGGTGGACGCGGCAGAGAGACGCCGCGATCGACGCCTCGCATGTCAGTCAACAGGTCGTTCAGTACCGTCGACGCCGAGCTCACGCCAGTGATGCCAGGTACGTAGGCCAAGATGTTCGCGGGTAGCTCGATTGGCTCCTCCGTTTCGTGGCGCTAACTAACCGTTGCAGTCGGCGAAGACTCTCCATTGCGCGAAGATGATGATTCAGATGCGTCTTGTTCCATATCGGGAACTTCTC